AATAGAGGTGAATATGTGTCGCTCAGGGTTGAACTGTGGAGTCCTTGGGGTTCTCTGAGCTTGGCTCTTTTCTTGCAAACCTTTCATTGCACTGAAGATGTTGCCTAGCCAGGTAATGAAACATTTGCAAGAAAAGAACCAAGCTCAGAGAACCCCAAGTAAACCTGATAGAAATGAGAGTGGACATGTTGTGGGTAGAAATGCAGAATAACACAATTGCACTGCAGTTTCTCGCAAAAACATGCCCCTCCCCTGAATGAAGACTCAGTTCTGGCTAGGCTAATCCAGTTTGCCTGCTCTAAAAGGGTTGTTGCAAATGTTAAATGCAGCCATAGCCATGGTTAAGAGAAGGTCAAAGATCACTTTCCATTGTGGAGTTGCGAGATGGCCAGTGTTACATCTTAAGCTTTATAGATTTAGTTCCACTATCAAAATATCGATGTCTTGCTACACCTGTGGAATGCCTGGAATATACGTAATGTAGTGGAATCAGTGCTATGAGGAATTGCATGCCTCCTTTTTAAATTGCTGTTAACAGTATTATACTCAGTGAACACTGACTTTGTGTCAGCTGCAACTGTCAGTTGTGACTGACATTCTGCATTATGGGGGAAACAGCCCTTTTGTCCTGAGGATTTTGTGTGCACGCCTTTCCCCTTCTTCTTCGCGACTCACTAGAACCTTAATGATCAACCTGGAGGTGGGAACATCTCTCACGCGGGTGGCACAAGTTGTACACGTGTGGACGGAGACCAGACCAAAGCCCATGGTGGGTGGAAAGCTTAGTAAACTCTGAATATTAGGCTGACTTTTGAGTGGAAGCAAATATCTGAATCAGCCTAGGAAGACCATCTCCTGCTATTTAGTCTTACGAAACATTAGTTGAAGAACTGGGTTGTGGAAGGCTTAAATGTGTACTGCCCAGTGAGAGAGCAGCCTCCTGTGCTTCTCTCTTGGCTGGCCCATCTCAGTTGCGGTATCTGTGCCTGGGATCCAGCATCCAGCGTTCAGACTCAGCGAAGGCAACTGCTCTTCTGTGGTCATCCACCTGAAGAGGTGTCACGTCTCTGCTCTCTTGCAGCAAGCAGAGATGAGCTTCAATCCAGAAAAATTAAGCTGGACTATGAGGAAGTTGGAACCTGTCAGAAAGATGTTATTAATATCTGGGACAAGAAACTGTTGAACTGCAGAGCCAAAATCAGATGTGATGTGGAAGATATTCATACTACCCTGAAAGATGGTAAGTTCTGAGTCCAAAATACTTAGTACCTAGAAAAAAGGGACGAGTTGTTACCAAGGCTTTGCATCTCCAGGGGAAATTCCACACCTGCAGAGAAGGAACATAATCGACCCAGAAATGTTGCTCTGTCTCCAGATCTCAGTGGGTGTCTTTGCGTCAGCTGCCTGGTGTTTTCAGTTGATAAGTGATGGATCGATTGATTGATTACAGCACTGAGTATTGCATTAGCCCCTGCAACTTTATATAGCCCTGTTTATAGCCCTGCAGTTTCCCATCGTCTCCCGCCCACCACGCTCATCAGGTCCAACCCACTTAGCGTTCAAGATCATCAAAGGCAAACCTTGTTTTCTTAAGCTCAGAAAAAGGCCTCGCCACGACCAGACATTTTAAGCTCTAGCTCACTCACAAGGCTGCCCGCGTGTGTATAGGTCTGATTGCAGGAAAAATACGAATGCGGGTAACAAATCGTGAAAAGAAATAGACGTTACTATAAGTATCATGGGGTGTATTCAACCGTGGCATACTTTGCAGTATATTTTGTGTCTGAATCTCTCTCCCCTGTCTCTCCATTCTTCATTTTTTTTTGGCTCAGGCGTCCCCAAAAGCCGCCGGGGAGAAATCTGGCAGTTTCTGGCCGTGCAGCACCGTGTCCGACACCGGCTCCCGAATAAGCAGCAGCCTCCCGACATCTCCTACAAAGACCTCCTGAAGCAGCTGACCGCGCAGCAGCACGCCATCCTGGTGGACCTGGGTGAGGGCTGCCCACGCGCTGGCAGCCGCTCTGGGCTGGGGCCCCGGGGGGAGGAAGGGGAGCCGGCCAGGCCACGCTCAGCCCCCGGACCGGCAGGACTCTTCCCGCAGGCCAGGCCTACGGCCTTGCAGCCCTGCCAAAGCAACACCGCCAAAGGGCTCTCCTCTCCGTAGTGAACGCGGTTTGCCACGGGGGTAATGCGTACGATGAAATGGGGCAGTTTCACAGCACTGTTGTTGTTGCACAGACACTCAGCTTTCTTGCCCCTGAACTGCAACAATTATAAATTGGAGCAGCAATTTTGGAGGAAAGGGGTGGGGGGCCTATTCGGCCTCATGCTTTTCTCCTCAAAACCACCCTCCCAGGGCTGTTTTCACCTACTAAGGAAAACTCTCTTTTTTGCCTGCCCCCCACGAGCAGAGAAAAGGTAGGAAGGGGAAGAGCGCGCCTCTCTTTCCCACCGCTCCACTTCCATGGCTGCTGGGGGCTCCGGGGGCTCTTTCAAAAGGCTGTGGCCCCCAAAGGCAGCCTGTGGTTTGGGACGTGGGTGCTTTCTCCAACGATTGCACAGACTAATCAGCAAATGCTCAGATTTGTCTGAACCTCGTTAATTCCCGGAGTTGTGTGTTGTGATGGTTTGTAAGAGGGGGCTGATTTGCCTGAGGCCTTCTGCACGGCAGTTTTGTGCAACTGACTCAACCCCTCAGAGAGAGAACTCTGTCTTTATGCACAGATGCTGGTGCGTCAGAAAAATAAAAGCCATTCTTACACGTGGGGATTTCTCTTTCTTCATGAATTTGATCTAATCGTACTCCTCATGGGACAGGAAGACCTTCTCTCAAACCTTGCTCTTCACATTCGGTCATTCCTGGGGTTCTTGAACATTTCTGCGCATGCTGGTAAAGCCTGTTTTACCCCTTTGTGGGAGGAAACCTCGTTCTGTTCTCTTCTAGAAGGGCAAAAGGTCTCAGAGAAGGGAATTCTGTGCCCAGCGTTGAATATTTCTCCTGGGCAGCCCACAATGCTGCAGCATAGTTAATTGTCAGGAAATTCTTCTTGGGAATTCTGCTTCTCGTTGGCGTAAGGAAACGTTGCTTTGTTTTGGTTCATTTCTTGAGGGCACATGGCATAATTACATGAACTTGTAGGAAAAGGAAGCCATTGAAAGGTCAGGAGAAGTTTATTGTTCATTCCATTTCACAATAGGCTGGAAATGGGCCAATTTCTCACCCCATTGCCACGAGCATCCCCGGAGCAGTGGCTGGTTGTGTCAGTCGTCACTCTCCCAGGATGCAAATCGATCTCGGGCTAACGGTCATCTGTCTTCAGTTGAAACAGATGTTTATGAGCCTCCCCTGGTGCCCCTCCTCCAGGAAGCGTGCGTGCGACTGACTTCACCTAGCTGTCCATCACTCCCCACCCTTTTCGTTTGTCCCAGGAAGGACCTTCCCCACCCATCCTTACTTTTCGGCTCAGCTGGGCGCAGGGCAGCTCTCGCTCTTCAACCTGCTGAAGGCGTACTCCTTGCTGGACAAGGAGGTGGGGTACTGCCAAGGCATCAGCTTTGTGGCCGGCGTGCTGCTGCTCCACATGAGCGAAGAGCAAGCCTTCGAGATGCTAAAGTTCCTCATGTATGACCTCGGGTTCCGGAAACAGTACAGACCTGACATGATGTCCTTGCAGGTAAGGCAAAAACAGGAAAAAAACGAGTGAGGAAGGATGTCCTTCTCCAACCGGTTCCCTGCTAGATATTTTGCAGCGGCACAACCTCTGAAATTCCCACCCCAGAAGGAGAACCGCAGTGCTGGCTGGGATATATGGGAGTGGTAGACTCAGTAGGTTGGGGAAGCCTGGGCGGTGGCTCAAGGAAGATGTAATGCCCGGTGAATCTCTCTTGCTCTTCTTCTTCCGTGTGGCACCCACAACGTCCAGGATGAGTCACTTCAACACTTTTTATGATACGTCCTGGAGTTTGGCTGCTTTGAAATGATTGGCGCTGGCTGTCCTCACCTGGGCCGCTGCTAGTTTCTTTTAGAAAATACCCATACTTTTGGAAAGGTTACACTAGCTGCATTCAGGGCATTAACTAATTTCACCCTCATTTTCCCGAAAGCTTCTCCTTGCCCTTGCTAGTCCGTTCTCCGCAAAAGAAAGCGTGACAGTTTTTGAGTGTCAGTTAAGCCTTCTGGTTCTGTGCAGACCGGTCTGAGCATTGGACCATTCAGCATCTCCTCTCGGGCCTCTGTTCTTCGCCTGTGAAAAACGAGGTCTCGGTACCTGCCCTTTCCTGACCAGCAGTGTGGTCCATCCCACTGCTGGTCCCGCTGCTGTTTTGGAAAGGAACGTGCAAGGTAGCGTCAGCCCTCCCAGGTAAACCAGACAGGAAACACGACCAGATGAGCTACTTCTACTTTATTGATAGGCTACATTAACAGAATCTTGCAAGTCTGAAAGTACAAATCTCCCGCCGTCCCTATTTACCACCTGATCAACTAGGGCGGGTCCTTCCGAGTTTCTTTCTCTGCCCGTTACTCAGTTGGGGGCTCCTCCTCCCCCCTTCATCTGATCGCTCCCTAGGCAGCATCTCTTCCCCCATCTTCCAAGGCCCTTCTCACATTCCATTACAGGTAGCCTTTTGATGGCTTCTGCGATGCTGCTTGTCACGGCTCTTCAGCATCCTCTTTTGCAAAACAAGGTAGTTGTGTTCCTTCTTGCTGATTGTGGTTTGTGCTACCCTTTGAGAACAGTGAGATCCTGGGTTGAAAGTCTGCCTCCCTGCATAGAAGAGGAGATTCCCTGTGTGAACATTTTGGCCCTCTTTCTGGGCAAGAGGACATATGCCACAGTGAATCTTGAATGACTAAGCTTGGTAGGGAATCAGACACAATTACACCCTCACTGGGAGAAATCGGATGGCTGTTTTCTCGTGCCTCTTGGTTTCACTTGACGAGAGACAGTCAGCACCCAAGACGTAGCCTTTTGAGTGGCTCACGCTGTGCAGGAATTAGGGCCAGAGACTCAGCTAGATGATTGTGAAGGAACAAGGTTGCCATGCTTGGGCCATGTAGGAAGGGATCTTAATCTTCTCTTCTTCCATGTGTTCGTGTAGATCCAGATGTACCAGCTGTCAAGGCTGCTTCATGACTATCACCGGGACCTTTACCACCATCTTGAAGAAAACGAAATCAGCCCAAGTCTTTACGCTGCACCCTGGTTTCTCACTTTATTTGCCTCACAGTTTCCCCTGGGATTTGTAGCCAGAATCTTTGGTAAGAAAGCTTTGGTCTTGTTTCACCTTGAAGTCCTAAGGAGTCATTCATTGTGTACGTCAGCAGGAACAGCTAGTACAGAACAGGATTTGCTGCCTTTTCTTTTACATCCTTCGGGGTTGCAATTTGTCTACTCAGTAGCATTGGCAGAGACTGTGGTTCTCTGTGGGCCATTTTTTAAAATACTCTATGATGTTGTATTACAATGCATTTCATTCCTGAGATGAATGAGATCTGCTGTCTCTTGCCTTAGTGGAAATTCTAATTGCAAGACCCTTTGTTGACCAGTGAAACTTGTGTGTCCTAGTGGCGACACATTTTTCCATTCCCTAAAATTGGTGAGGTTTTTTTGCTTTTACTTTTACTTTGCTTTCAACTGGCTCTGTACACAGGAATTTGCAGCCAAAATGGTTCCTTGCAAATGGATGAACCCTGTTGCCCTGTTGATGGGGTTTCCTTCTTTGCATTCATAGCTTGGAGGTTAGGGCTGTTACTTTTCATAACTGAAACTTCTAAAAATACAAAGAGGCACTCTAAAAGCAAATACAGTGGTAC